CCCGGGGGGCAGTCGCGCCGCTGTGGGCGAAGCGCCAGATCGGTGATGCGGATCGCGGCGCCGCGCTCCGAGCTCCGGGTCTCCGCGGGCGGAAGGGGCGGGAGGGACGGAACGGAATCGCCTCAGGGTCAAACCTCAGTGAGCATTGAGGCCCGCAGCATGCCGGGAGCAGTAGTCTTCCGGCACTGGGCTTCCGGGCGGCCATGCTCTTTCGCGCGGCATGCCGGGAGCAGTACTCTTCCGGCACTGGGCTTCCGGGCGGCCATGTTGTTTTGCTAAAATTGTGCCCCAGAGCGCCTTTTGTCCCTCAAGCTCTCTTTGGACTTTTCTTTTCCCCTCAGGATGCTTTGGGACTCTTGTTGCCTAGAGGCTTCCTTTGGTTATCTAACCCCCTTAGGACCTAGTGAACTCTGCACCTATCTTTTGGCCAAAATTGTATCCCAGAGACTTCTGTTGGCCCTCTAGACCCACTAGGACCTCTCTAATCACCTCTGAACCCCTCTTGAGGCCTTTGTTGTGCCACAGAGCTGGTTTTTGGCCCTCCTGACCCCTCAGCACCCCTCAAATCCTCTAAGGACCATTCCTGAGGCCTTCCTCGTTCCCTCTTTGGTTTTTTTTTTTTTTTTTTTGCACCATATGGACCCTTCAGAACCCCTCTAGTCCCTTCAGAAGCCCTCCGGAGGCCTTGGTTTTGTCCTGGAGCCCTCCTTTGGCCACCCAGCCCTCCTAGCAGCCCTCTAGCCCACTCCAGATGCCTCTTTTGGCCAAAACTGTGGCCCAGAGGGTTTTTTTTTGCCTGCTTAGGAAATCTCGGGTCTGCTCTGGATGCCTCTTTTGGACCATATAGTGCTCCAGAGTCCTCTGTTGGCTCTGTAGACCACTTATGAACCTCTAGGGTACTCTAGAGTGCTCTTTTGGCCTTTCTTGTTCCCTAGAACTGTCCTCTGGCCCTCTGAACCCCTTAGGAACTTTCTAGTTGCCTCTGAATCCTTCCTGAGCTTGTCCTTGCTCCCTAGAGCTGTTTTTCTGGTCATGTAAACCGCTTCAGGGCCCCCTCTAGCGCACTCTGGATTATTCTTTCGGCCTTCTTTGCGCCGCAGAGCTGTCTTCAGGCCCTCCGGACCCTTTAATCCCTCCCTCTAGTCTTTTCAGAACCCCTCCGGAGGGCTCGGTTTTGTGCAGGAGCCCTCCTTTGGCCCTCCGGGTTTCTTAGAGGCCCTCTAGTCTGCTCCAGACACCTCTTTTGGCTGAAATTGTGCCCCAGTGTCCTTTGTCCGTCCTCCAGATCACTTAGGGCCCCTCTTGTTCTCTCTGGACCACTCTTTTGGCCTTCCTT